TCAGTGTAACTGTGAAGGCCTGTATACATTTTTTTAAGGAGGGTACCAAAAAAATTTAATTGGTTTGAAGGGGTAATGATGACTTACCGGCCTGCAGGATGACTCCCTTAATAAAATCACTATATTTATGATCATCATGTAAATAAATAAAAAACTCATATTATGCGTTTCTTATACCGATGGCTTAAATATTTTTACAAGTGCGCTCCATAATTTGGTTGTAATTTATTTAGAAACCATCTTTCTTCGGAAATTCTGGTCCATCTACTTACGCTTGAGTGGATACCAGCCGTGAGCCATACATAATTAAAGCATTTATACACAATATTAATTCATAGCAATTAGAAATGTCGACTGATGTATATGTATAGTAATAATACATACAATACCTATAGCTAGTATGACAATATAAACAGCACTACTATCACTGGCGGAGTAATAAGTATATATTATAATGTATAGTCTACACACAGTTTACTGTATATAGTACGACAATATTATATTAGGTATTAGGGATAAGTGGCCGGTAATGATATATTGAGCCCATCCGTTTGAAACACTGCACCACGATTACTGATTATATATTGAACATCATCATCATGCCATTCATGTCCAATATATATCCATACCTACGTGTATATTAACATTTGTAGAAAGAGGCCGCGTGACCTTAAATGTACGCTCAATTGGTGTTCTGTGTAATATACAATATAAATGGGGACTTAATTATTATAATAAAATATGTATATTTAGTTAAAATTTGTTTCGTTGGCCGAGTTTCTGTTGTGACATCTACGATCACACAAACTGTCTTGTATATATATATATAGGTGTACAAAATATATTATACATTTATGTTCGAACATGGAGCGCGTAGGATTATTTGAAATCGGTATCATCGTGTATAATAATAGTATATATACGTATCTATAATGGGTGCGTTTTAATGTACATAGTCGCATAAAAGTAAATGGATTTTAACACGAACAAATTGGTTAGGTGCACGCGAGTTGAATTTGCGACGACTGCCGCGTCGTGCTCAGTGGCATGATTTGTAGCACACCATTCCGAGAAACTCGAGCGCGAATAATATTTGGGTACTTACATCTGCAGATTGCAGTTAATTGTTATTGAAAATTATCATAATCTTCCAAAATATCGTTTGAGTATTTTCGACGGCGTATAGTTTTCCAAAGATTATGCATTAAATACCATTATTATTGCCGAAAAAGGAAAAGTTGTACGTGTGACGTGCCTACGTTTACTTTCGGCGATAAATTTTACTATATGTTCATGATTTCATACTTTTGACCGACATACCAACGTATATAGGTACCAGTATTCTTAACATGACTGTAACTGTGACACGTAACCTATGATCATCGTAGATTCGTACATTATGATAAGTTAGGGCAATAGGGCGTCATCATACATGAACCTTGGCCACCAGAAGTCTTCACGTCGGAGTTACGGTTTTGGTTTATTATTAAAATATTTAATCATAATATAAATTTATATAAAATATAATAATTTATTACCCATTATGGCATTATATTATTATTATTCTGTTTAATATTTGAGAGTAGGCACATTAATTAATGTTGCTTACTTTTCTCTTCGCTAAGCTTCCACGGGCATATCTATATGCTTTATGGATATCGAGCACTCTACAAATAATTATAAACGAGTATAAAGAGTGATTAAAAGCGAAATGAGTAACACGACACACATACACATATAATTATAATATTGAAAACAGTTCGGTGGATACGTTAACGTGCGTGGGAGTATGTGTTGCTCAGGTCCGGGACACGACGGGGTTCAACGTAGGAAAAAGTTAGGTAGGGATATATTAATGATATTATATAGGCCAACGACCAATATTGTTATTATTATTGTTATAATAATAATTATTGTTACATCGGACGACGACGACGACTGCCAACTGATTTTTAATTACATATTATATACCTTCGCGATTGTGTTCGTACCTATATCATATTATTATTGGCAGGTAAATCACTACATGTCGCGTTCCTATATTATTATTCTTCAAAATATGTATGTTAATATTTTGCACTTAATTTTATATAAGAAACGAATGGAAATGTGACTTGGACGTTATTTTTTGGTTAGTTATTACAATGTAAAAATATTTTTATAACGTATAGGTACATCATGTTAAGATCCCGTTAACCCGCAGGACACTTTATATTTCATCCTAACCGATTGCTGGCGGTATCCAGCAAATCGAACTATAATAGAATATTTGGTTTTAAAGAAACTCATTTTAATCAACACAAAGTTACAAAAATAAATTAGTATGTACTTATTGTTTGTCTTACTAAATTACTACCTACTTTGAAACTATTATATGTTGTTCGTTTACATTGATATAACCACTCATATTCTCGAAAAAAAAAATGAAAAAAATAAACTAACTTATACATTTTTAAATTATTACAACTTATATATACCTATAGTATGTACCTAATAAAGCTAACATAAGTGCCTATTAGTTATTACCACATTAAGTGTTCATTTCCTTGACTTTCGTAGAAAACCATTGTCTGCTGTAAATACTTAATGTTTGTAGAACTAATTTCAAAACTTATCCATTTCACTTATTATAAGTGAACTAAATATATCGTGCGAAATTATTACCTTAAAATAAGTAAAAAAAAATAACATAATATTTACTGCTTAGGTAGTTAGATACTTACTAATATTACTCATTAGGTAAATATTTCGATCGATTATCACAGTTTTTAACTATAAGTAGGTACCTACCAATAGTTAATATGTCATTTTAAGTTATAATTTGATAGCTTTGATCTATGATACCTTCTTAATGACAAAATATGTTTAACCGCGTAATAAAAAGTACGAGTATAATGCCTGTATAGCCTGTGTAAAATAAGCAATAACCAACTAATAACTATATAGAATAATTGTAATAACTAATTAACTGTAGGTCTATACTCAGAATATTTCTATTAAATTGTGCAGGTATAGTTGGTATACCAATATAGTATTATATAGGTTTAGTAAAAATATACTACACAATAATATTCATTTTGGTTTATAACAATCGAAAATCGTTCATTTATATTGTTATTAATGAATGGACTTCTTAAGATTTAAGTGTATAATTATTATAACGAAAGTTTTACTTTTTTCTCAGTATTTCAGAAAGATTTGCATACTTCAAATTTATACATTTTCAGTTCATTTATAGTTCAAAAGATTACGGTCAATGAGTGCATTACTATTTTGAGTATATTACATTAATATTTAATAGTATGCTCATAATTAACATAATATTGCTGTTTAGATTTTCACTTTAATCTTATAATATTTATACTTGATTTTGTCTTTTTTTATTTTTATCGGCCAATGTATATGATTATTATTGAATTAAATTTAAAACTGTTTTATTTAACTTTAAATTTGTCTGCAACCTTTAAATATTAAGTTTTTGGTTTGGTTAATTTTTTAGTTTATATCACACAAAATGATTGTGGATTGTTTGAGTTTATTTTTTACTATGTGTCTAGATGTACTAATAAGTGTACAGTTTCTTCAGTAACAAAAGTATCTGAGTGAGAAACTATCGAATAATAGTTTCAATTGCACAATGATCGTGGATACGGCCGACAGGTCGAAGCAAGCAAAAAAACTTGAAAAAGAGTTGCATAAAACTTACTCAGAATACTAAATACTTATACACTTATATATTAATCACCTGGCCATTATTCTTATAAGTATATTATAATATAAGCACTATAATATGACATCAATGGTGATAAATCGGTACACATCAACTATACAACGTAACTACAAAAACATCCTAATTGTATTGAATTAAAAACTGATACCGCTACAAGATTAAGAAAAATACGTTCCTTAATTCTCGTCTAAATTGGAAACATCAGGTCAAAAATAAAAAATGCAGATTAATGAAAAACAAATTAAATGCGAAGCTTGTCGAACGCCACTCATATAGTTAGCTTTCAAAAATAAATGACTACTACATTATGTATATTGCATTTTTATTGTTTTTCAAACAGGTCTAATATATATGGTTATTCAAATTAAATTTGAATAGTTAAAATGCATATAGGTACTAGGTAGTTTAAAGTAAAAACATTAAATATACATGTTATACTAATGAATGTGAATGTAAAGTATAATATCAACTATCAAGTGTATTGATAATTATGTTATTCGAAAGTCGAAATTGAAATGTAAATTATGGCATTTGAGCCTATGGTATCTTGAAGAGAGATAACTATTACGTTTACAAACTATTGGTAGATTTGAGCATTTGAAACAGTAGACCACTCGTCGACACTGCAGGAACTCAAGCCAATATATATCGACTAGAGTCGTGTCGATTCATCTCAAGAAATATAAAAAAATATTGATAAATAATATCTGCTAGTTTCAAGAAAATGATAAGAAAGTAACATATTATGATGCATTTTGATTTAAGATTTTTGAATAAAATTAAGAGTGACATAATATCAGGAGTCAAAACGTCTGTTTTTCCTATATTATAATATACACGTGTATTATGGACTTGACCCTGCGAATATCGTCATCGTACAACCGATTTTCTTGAGTCTCAAAGACTAAATACCTTAGTCAAATATATAGTTTTGAGGATCGCCAAAATATATAGTACACTAGTCCGCATTATAAAACGAAAGTTATTATTCAGATGAAAAAAAAAACAATAATAAAACATAACGTCGATGGCGGGAACACTCGTCCTCCGTGACCCCTTAGTGCATTATCGCCGCAGGAGGGACACTTTTGCATAATGCACTAATTTGTATTATTACCTTTAATACAATTGGTATAATATTATATTATTATAATATACATTATCTATTAATGTACGCGGGAAATTATACGTCATGTATGCACACGCGGATCGACCGCCTTATTAGAGGAGGGCGCTTAGCCGGCCGGCCGGTCGTCTCCGCAATCTCATCGGTTACTGCCGCAACACAAGCCGGTCAGTCGTCAACAGCGCCGCACGTCGTTAATTCGTAACACACGCTCGCTCACAAGTACGTAAAATATTCACGAACTTATAAAATTGTAACTTAAAAACGTATCGACACCACATATTGTCGTCGAAGTGTCGTGCAGTGAACCTTAACTATCAGTTTTCGTTTTTGATACTGATTTTATTATTATATTAATATTCCGATCGCATTACTATTGGTTTTGGTTTTTATTTCTAACGATAGTTCGAACCGATAACATCCCTTCGAGTGCGTTCCGTGAATCCAACATCCGGACGTGTACTGCAGGCTATAATTCCGACCAAGTGTCCACGACGTCGATATAGCAAGCTGTGGGTATTATATTATACCTGTGATTACACGTGGTGAGTCTACAATATAATTAAATTATAGTGCTGATGAGCTCATTATTATAACTGCACGTAAGCACGCATAGGGCCAGTACGCTGATGTTTGTATCCTCGAGTTTTACCCAGGAGTTTCGTAATGTATAAGGGCAGTGGGTACCTATGCTCCGAGATCTTAGCATTCGTATATTTTCATCTATCGGTCTGCTTGCGGACCACCGCGATCGACAGTCACATAATATCATATGGTATGGCTACAGACGAGGTTGCTATGAATTCCCGAGATTAATTAATTCTTGCAGGGTTCTTCTTTGGTACATTAACGCATTATTATTAATTAACGATATTTAATTTTATTCACAAGAATTTTATTGTATGAGACTTTGGATGTGTACAACTCCAAAGGACATTGTAGACCCCGTATATCAATAATAAACCAACGTATTGGTCTTGACGACGTTGATAATAATAATAATAATAATAATATTTATACGTATCGTAATATCGTATATTTTTAGTAAAAGTTCGATTTGGCGAAGTGACAAGTCGAAAACGCGCGTTTTTTCTTTTACGTCCTGTTTATGTTTGGTCAACCCGAACGTCGTCGTCATGTGGGTGAATGTCTAGCTACACAGCACATAATATTATAATATGCAAGCGCATTTGGAAGGGTATTAGAAAGTGTATTGGTTTCAAATCACTTGTAGGTACATATACCTATTAATATATTATACATTATATCGATAAGCAATGAATCATATTAAAATAATCTTAAACAAACTTTACAATTGCGTATAAAATATTGTCATCTGGAGAAACACTAGCTAAACTAAGCTAGTTTTAGCTAAAAATTATTTTACCAGGGAACAGGAGTAGAATTTTGATGAGGCATTTTTTTTCTAATTTTACAAGATATGCACTGACAAAATACTATAGAAATATAATAATATTATATTATTCTAATAGTTCTATTTTTCGGTGCTGCCTAATATAACAATAGTAAAGTGTATGTATATTCGCAAGTTTTAGTCGAACTCCACATCGTGTTGTATACTCATATCGTGTTATGTCGATCAATTTGAAAAGTGCATTCGGCAACAATAGATTTTATGGCTTTATACATTGTTTCAAATTATTTAAAATTATAAAATTACGCTTTATCTTTCAAAATAAGTGGTATGTGTTCGCGAGCACTTGGGAATATTGAACGGACACTATGAAAAATATTATTACAAGTCTATTAAACATATATGCGGCATTAGGTTGCATATACGACACGCATTGCCGTATTCGATAGGGTCATCCATCATTATATTGTTCGTGATAATAATAAATAATAATAGTAATAGGTAATCATAATAATAATAAAATAACATTAGTAATATAACCAATCGTTTGGTCTCGGTCTGAAGAGCGCACCGTTCGACGTGTACAGATGTGGATATATATGTTGTGAGTCGTGGTCAATACATCCGTTAACGATTTAAATTGACTTGCGTATATGAGTGTATAAAAATCACAATATGTTATCTACTCATAGTAATTAATTTCTAATAATTTGATATCACGAGTTGAGGTAAATGGACAGTGTATATAATACAAGTCGGCGACGTCATTAAATCCGTTCATTTCTGTATGATACATGGCTGCAAAGCTCCGGTGGTATTATATTATATGTCTGTACTACGAAGGGCCCGAAATCGAACAATTATCACAATTCTGTACCGCAAATCGTGGTCACTGGTAGGTAAGCTGAAAACCTTCATCGTAATTTTGTTTGAAACGTTATACTTGCATAATACTGCGTTCGAGATGATTTGACTAGCATTTAAAATCCCTCGTTTTATAGACCTCACCACCAATGGCGTTTCTTATAATTTATGTTTTTTCAAACAGACTTCCACTCCTAAGTCTTGTCTTTCAGGTTGACTGACACACCTCACAAGTAATAATATTGTACAAGACCCAACATTAGGGAATGCCCAGGTTTTGGGCATTAACTCAGACTTCTGGCCTCGAGTTTACAAAAATAAATAAATTAGGACAATCGATTTCAAAAATTATATTATTTCATAAAGAAATAACGAACAATTTCTGAGAAATTGGGTAGCAATAAAGGTACTATATGTGTTTTATGTTATTTAATACCCAAGTAGATAATTAAATTACTTTCGTGGTCAAGCATATGATAATGGTGCAAATATGGCAGGACAATACACGAAGAGGTATACAGAAAACCATGTAGAGCTTTTTTTGTTCCATGCACTATACTCGCAGCCAAAATTTGCTTCTTGTAGATGATATCGTTCATATGGTGTACATATTATTGTATTGTTTAGCCTAATTAACACGATCAGTGATTTTACTTCGGCGTGGGCTCCACGAGAGAAAAACGACAACGATTATATCGTTACGCCGACGTCCGCGATAATATTTCGTATTGTGTGGACGACCGTGCGTGGACTTTCTATGCATGTACTTACTCAGCTAGTGTATAGTACACACGTTGTTTCCGCAACGTTTCCTACTCTAATTAATCACGCCCGCGGCGAATGCCACTGACCATAATAATATCTTAATAATAATAATAATAATAATAACATACACTTTATAATTATTATTATTTCGTTACTAACCGCCCGATGACCCAGAATCGTATTTGGGTGCTTATTTTTTGTGAGCCCAGTGAGACATCCCCGAACGCACGTCCTTGACCTATAAAATAATTATATTTACTTAAACCTTTATTATAATATTATAATACTATATAGGTTAGATATTACATACTTTTTTGCAAGAGACGTTTTTTCTAATACGCATATTAGTCATGCCGTTAAATCATTTCAATGCATAATATGATTTTAATAACGATTAGGTAGAGGGGTTTGCTATTGACGACAAACATTCCACCGCTAAAATTGCGCAGGTCAGTGAGTGTAGATCTACTCCATAATAATATTATTATACTTGAGATGACTCGCAAAAATTTTAAAGATACTCCAAATTTGAAAGGAAAAAGTAAGCTCTTTTTTTGAATGAAGGAAGGAATTATATATTTATTATAAAATACATACATATTTTTTTATTTTAAATTATTTTATTTACCTACGTATTTTAAACTTGTTGGTAACACTATACCTATAATTCAGAGTTCTAGTTATGACAAGATTTTATTTGTAACTTTTAAAATACACAGCACTGAGTACTTTTTATTCTACTAATTTTTCCGGGTTAAATGATATAGTCTGTATGTTTATATTATTTATACTATTAATAATTTGTACTCATTATAATTTGATAATGTATAAATAAGTACTACATTTTTTCAATTTGTTTTTGCCTTAAGAATCGAAATATTACTTCCCTTAGCTCTACATGGATTAATAATGCCATTAGTATTATAATAATATTGCGAATGCGATGGAATGTATAGCCATTTATGTGTTATGGGCGATATATGTATTACATAACTTAAAGTTATAACTATACAACTTAAATGTGAATGTAATAGGATTGTATTTAGGTAAATGAGCTAAAATCGGTTGTTTTTAAACTTGAGCATCTATATGACATACACATTGTATACAGCGTATAAATAATATATAATATATTTTGATTTCACATCAATGAAAAAGACGAATGATTGAAAAATGAAAAAACTATTACAATATGCAATCAAAAATTTTGAAATCTCATGACTGCCTTAAACAATCAAAATAAAATTCGGTTGAAATATGTGCTGAAACTGACTATAGTGAAATTCATAACGACTCATCTATATAATAAAATATTTAAATATCCTTGCTACTATAATATAACACTCTCCTGCTCCGTACCATCGTTATTATAATATTCTGTCGACGGACATTTCTAGTTATTTTTATTTTTTACGCCTCTGAGAACGATAATAATATTAATGATAAACCAAACAAACAAACGAACCGGCGATGACCTGAAAACGCCGACCAGTTTGAACCGTCGGGAGAGGCTCTCTTCCGGCGGAGCTAGTCCAGCTATAGGTTGTTCCGCGCATATTTCCTATACAATCATATACTATATAATATATTATATTACTGTATAGTGTTTGTTAGTTCGGATGACAAACGAGTTGCGCCGCTGTGAAACTGAAGAAGATCCCGTTTCTGCTGCGGGAATTGGTTCCCGGTAAAAATTTACCGCATGCGATATTTCTCACAAAAATAAATCTCGCGGATCACTCGTAAAAATTTTCCTTTGATGAACTGGAAAAAAAACGTTGCAGCAGATTGGAATCACACACTCAGAGCCGTACTCAGAGCTATTTACGTTCTATAGGATTTGGAAGTATTTAACAGATTTAAATAATGGAGATTCAAGTTTAATCAATATGGGTGTTATTATTACATTTTCAATACTCAAATATTATTATAATATTAGTTATTTATACATATTATTAATTTAACTTAGTTTCTAAACATATGTTAAGAAAACCTTATTTTTCCGTTGTGTCTGTCCATCAGTTGTAGTTCCAGTACATATTTACGATTGTTGGTATTAAGAAATATATTTACTGTCCGTAATATTAATGTAGGTGCATACACTATATTAAATTGTATATGGAATTATAATTTATTGCGTTTTAATAAAATATGTTTAGAAATCGTCAATTTAGCACTCTCACTGAGTAAGCTTTCCTAACATGTTGACTATATTAATACGTTGTAATGTTGTGTACCTAGGCGAAATTATAACAAATAAGTTTGTCACACGGGTAATCAAAATTTAAAAAACGAAGAAAAAATAGGCACAAAAAATATTAAGTTGATACATTTTTACAGTATTTCAAACGTAATATTATAATTTGTTCAATTTCAGATTATGAGTGGAGCGATTCTTTTTGATTTTACAATGATATGTGTGTGAGTATGTGTGTTTTTTCTTCGTGTTGGTGTGCACAAAATTTAGTTGAAATAATACTTCAATTTTCAACTTCAGTATCTTTTCTGCATGGCGGGAAAGTGAATCTAGTTGGGGTTTTT